TTTTTAGAATGATAATTATTAAAATTACTGCCTTTCCTTGGAACATCCTGGCCATTATTTGTGATGTCATCATATACCGGGTGCATTATAGTTTGAACACGACAATCTACAGCAAATGAATAGGCCAATAATGTGAAAGCCACTGCAAATACGAGCCAGATTATATTGAATTTATCTCTGAAGCAGCTGATAATCAAGATTATTGTACTCAGGGTCAGTAAAACAGCGTAACTTATAGATAGTCCGTAGTGCTCCAGGTAAGCACCTATCATACCCACCACATGTAAGGCTACGCCTATAATACAGGCCACTATCGCTATAGGAATAAAATTCTGTTATTGAAAAAATTAACAAGTTAATAATATTGTGAAAATTAGTAATTATTTTGTTTTTCATATATCGGCATTACCTTGTTATCAAAGATTTGTTGCATTGGTTTATCAGTCGAGTTTAAGTTAATAGCGTAAGCAGTCTTAATAATTGCGCCAATAATTGAAAATAATGCCAAGGTGAATAGTGTCCATTTTCTACATTCAAAAGCATTGGTTCGCTGATAATTTCCTGCCATAATTAATGTAACTTTTAAAATATAAAAACCCTATTTAACTCGCTTCAAATAATATTAATACACTATTTAATAATGTCTAAAAATAATGATTATTTCTGCATTCAATAAATATTAGTTTCCTTTTTTTGCAATTCATATTATTTACATGATGAATTGCACAAATGAGATATATTGTACAGTATTTATGATAGAGTTTACGCTAAAATATAATTGAGAAGGATAAATAGATATATTATTATAAATAATGATATAAATAAAATTAATAAGTTGTTAATTATCATCTGAATAATTTAATCTGATATTTAATAAATAGAATTAATTCACTATACATTGTATAGTATACAATAATATAAACTTTATAAAATTTTATTTAAAATTTATTTAATAGATATTTTAAATTTAAAGTTTACTTTAGTAATTAGATTATATTATTAGTATAATTAAAATTGTATAACAAAATTTAATAAGAGTGAACATTTAAATATTAGAATAATCATACTTTAAAAATTTATAACCATATTCATATTGACTATCCTATAACATTAGATATTGATATAAATAAGTTAGTCATTTTTATAATTGATTTTAAAATAACAATTTTATTTAATTGTTAAATGGTTAGTTAAACAATGTTTGGAATAATTAGTTTAATTTATACAATTTTTGATAAATATTATTTATAAGAATTGATATAACAAATGAGTTTATAATATACAAAAAGATCAATCGATGAATAAAAATGAATGATTATTGATAAATAATTTTACATTGAAAGCAGAGTTTACTCATTCAAACTAATAAAAGTTTTCAAACTTAGCTTACATT